TGAATTTCCAGGCTATGCTCATTGTGCTCGATGTATGTAGAACTGCAGACTAATCACGTTTTTAAGTAAGTGTAAGCCTGTTTTCGAAAGATTGCAAAATATTGAATGTTTGAGCCTTCCTTTCACGAACAGATATTACTGCACTAATGTGCCGGTGATCGTATCCCTTTGCCGCTCATGAATAGTTTTTCGTTAATATCGTCAGTTTGAAATAGAGATGTGATGTTATCTAGTTAATGTTTCGACGGTGTAAATATTGCCAAACCACAGGCAATGTGCTTAGAAAGTGGCTATGATCGACAAACCAAAGTTTTCTTGAACGCGTACCACACTCATATGTCAACTCGTATGGAGCTATTAGGTACATTAGCCGCCATAATTTGTAAACTATAGATTTTTCCTCGGAATTGCGATTGTTATCGCGACTAATAGCCGACATAATGGGAACAATTTGAGCTGTTCACTATTCAGTTGACACTGCAACTGTATATCAATTTCTGAGTTCGACGGACGATCTTCTTGACAACATTTAGTAAAGTTTGCCTTGCACATGTTTACCGCGACTCCTCCGTCATGGCGGAAGCCAATACTGCAACTTATTGTGGCAATCAAGTTTAAAGCTATGCGTTCCGAAAAAATATTTTATTTATCATATTTAACCACTCAAAGAATTCGAATTTGTTTAAGGCTATTATTTACGTAATGTTTCCGCGGATAGCATTCATTCTGAAATACGATCTTTCAACCCCTGGTCCAATAAAATCTACACGAGCAAAATATCTCTATCGCATACTAGAGGTATAGATATAGAACTAGAGGCAACAATCCCTTTTTTTTATAAAATTGAGTACAATATGACAATGGTCAGCTTCTTTATACTACCACCTAGAAGCTACTTTATTGAATTCCAGAGTTGTGTGCTGACGCAGGATGTCTAGGATACGCTTTTGCTTTTTTGCGTGAGTGTGCCAGTTTACTCTTCGCAGAACAGATTTGAGTATATATTTAATACTTGATAGACTGATTTAACACTCCATACTAAAGGTACTGGACTTTATAGCCTCAATACAGCCTACTTAGCTACGTATAGTTCACTTAGCTACATGCGAGCCTGCTAGTTCGCTGCCAGATTCGATAGTATTCTATCCTACATAGATTTCACTTTTAAATTTATGCAATACCCATGAGAAGCTAGTTTGTCTTTCCTTCTAACAGAGATGCCATTGTAGATTGCTCTCAACTGGAGATTTGCTACCACTCCACTGCATTATACTTCGTTTACGAGTTCACCCAACAACTAGCTTAGTGGCAACATATCAATATTTAAATGTTGTACTCCGTACAGTCGTACACTATGTATTTTACCAGATATATATGTGTACATAAAGTAAAAATATATATCCCAAATTTAGAACAAGAAATTTCGAATAAAAACCGTTGACGTCATCATCAGTAATAGTACAGTTCGACACATGGATTCCAACAATAAAATAATATATACACATGTGCAGTATATATTCAAATATTTATAGTATTTCATACAGTAAGGAGTCCCCAGTCAGCGCTGCATGGATAAACATTCGAACATATATAACGCAACAACCGTGGCACAACTTCTATTGCTGCTATAGCTCTGTATCAATATAAATCCTTGAACAACTTCCATACCTATAAAATACTTGAAACGTACGAGTAAATATATGTAATACTACATAATTATAGTACATCTATAGAAATATATACATACATATATCTTATATATATACACCTATATATATCCGAGATGTTTCCCGCCCCATTCCAACCAACCAAAGATGGAGCTGTCCCCGACAGTTCAGCCTGGTCGGGGGTGCCTACAGCTGCGCCTCGGTGGCTTACCGCAGGACAGTCACAGATGTTCCACTACCAGCCACAGTCACTCTATTCGTCAGGTAACTATGGCAACCAGGTGCAACAGCACGGTAGCCACGGGTATAATAACGGGAATAGGCAGAATATGAGCGGACAGTATATGGGCCCTGGAGGTAGAGGTGGCAGAGGCGGCAGAGGAGCGTATGGTGGTGGTGGTAGATCGAAGGAGTTGACTTTCGACGACGCACTCAATGGACTTAAAGGAGGCTCTCATACTTGGGTAAGTGCTACTTCAATTGGCGTGCGTGTGCAAGTGTACGTACTAGATACCACCGATGCCTACATGTAGATAAAACCACTTACCTAGATATATATATATATATATATATATATATATATATACTATATATATATATATATATATATATATGTGTGTGTATACGAGATATAAATATGAACTAAGGCACTTCTATGGGTCTCGTTTGTATTTCGAACACTAACTGGAAAGCTTTGCTATACATACCTGCGGAAAGAAGTGAACTACATTCGAATGTGATTTCCAATTCGAATGGGGCGTCAAATCGCGCAGGGTTTGTCGTCGGCTTAACGTTCTTTACAATTACAGCTGCCATTGTGAGTAAGTAGAGACCGAAAAGTTGAAAACGTGTATGTGGCAGTGTTTATGTATTGCTTCAGAATGTATATGTTCGTATACGTGTATCGTAAATACATATAACATATATAGCACACATACACACACACACACACACATACACACACACACACACACACATATATATATATATATATATATATATACACTATTTGTATCGCACCTGCGACGGTCTCGACACCTTCTCGTACGACCGAGGACG